TCTTTATTGATTACCCTTTTTTATAATATTAAAATGTTTAGATAAAAAATAAGACAAAGTTACTTGAATTTATTTCAAATTCAAAGTTTTTCGATAAAGGCAGTTTAGTTTTATAAAGAACATGTACTAAACGTTTTGCGAAGCCCTTTGTGGTTGAATTTTACCTTAATTAAATTAAATTGAAGCTTATATTACGTAACGTACATGCCTAACATCAGGGTTTATTTTAAGAAAAGTTTAGAACTGCACATATTAGAGATGTTACGAAGCATCACGTGTTTGACTGGGGGGGGGGATCAAAGGATGTTTGGCTGGGTGTCAAAGGATTTTTATCTACAGTGTATTTAACGCTGTAAATTTATAGTTAACGTTGCAAATGATGATAGACTCTTAATTTGTATATAGGTAGCAGAATAAAGGTGTGGTTGGGTGGGGCCAGATAAACTCGATTCCTGGTGAGGAAGCTACAGGTAGGGGAATTTGAATTTAGGGGCTCGTAAGTTCTGGCAAAGATTTATTTCACCCAACCACCCACAAAAACTGTTTCAAAACATGTAACTGGGAATCATAAATACTCAATATATAATAACCTTAGACAGGAAAGAATATTACTAGGTTCTCCCACTCTATTAATCTCTTTTGGATAGCTTCACTCGCCCCAATTTTACCTCCTGTTCCATTACCCCAGCACATATGCGATTTGTGAGGAAAATATGAGGGTCTGGTGGCCCTCTCCGGCTCTCCCAGAAAACATTTAGACTTTTGATACTCAATGACAGCATTTCTGGCATCTGGAGCATCCACAACGAAAACAAGCAAATGAGAAGAGTATTGTTTTGAGGTTATATGTTTGTTAATTTGGTGACTGCACAGTTGAGTTTTAAGAACTGCACAAATGGGTTTAGAACTGCACATTTTGTGTAGAACTGCACGTTAAAATAAACTCTTTCTAACATTATGTATACGTAGGCTATGTTTGGGAAATTGATAATTTTGTAATTAAAAGTTATATTTTTAGGGGACTCTTCATTTGTAAAAATATTCTTAAACCGTGATAACCACTTTAATTTAAATACTTCGTGTTTGGAAAATACAATGGTTTTGTCAGCAAGGCAAGGGTTTCTGCATGCATGTATTTTCTAGTAATATGCAAATGGTCGATCTATTCGACTTGGTCTGGAAACATAACAGAAGTCATTGTGTTAGTATGTTTTTGTCTGAATTTATGTTAATTCATGTGCACGCTGACGGTGATTGAGCTCATTGCATATTCGTATAGCGATGTAATCGTCCCGAAGGGATAGCTGATCGATGAAACGTGCAATTTAATGAAGTCGAGACAAAAGATTTGTGCACGGTTTGATGCTGAAAGAAAGATTTTGAAGCTTTGAAGTTGGCTGGCTTCCGGAACATCATATCTTGATTCTTCAAGACCACGACTTGACTGGAAACACTAACTTACCAAGAGTATGTGCACGGGGCACACTCTGGGTGCAAAATTGGGTTAACACGCGTTTAGCCATTCTACTTACTTTGTGCATGCTTGAAAATGGTCACCCCAAGCAGCAACTTGGTAATTATAAGCCGCATCAGATGGGGAGCATTGTTCATTAGTCACCACTGAGATACATTTGTTTAATTTCGTTTCATTATTTTGCCAATATTGAAGCGGACTCACCACCTTATCCCATACCTGTGTTAAAAGCGGCTTTCTGATTGGTTTAGAGCAGGTGAGCTTGTCGTCGAGCTCACCTGCTTTTTGCCCGAACTCACCTGCTAAACTGCTTACGTTGCAATAACAATAACAAATATGGCGGACAAGATTTAGCCGATAAACCTAAACTTTAAAGAACTTGTTTCGGTGACTAACATACTGAGACTGAAGAAAAACCAAAGAAAAAATGCAGTAAAGGTAATTAAGACGTAGATAAAGAAGTATTTTCTTGCCCAGTGATTTTTTTGGCCGGGAAAATGTTCACAAAACATCGACGAATATATCGCGAAGAGCCACAAATGTGTGTATGGCTCGGCGTATGGGATAAAAACCAAACGTACTTGCAGGTTCGGTGAGTCCGGGATTGGACGCACCTC